CTCTCTCTCTCTCTCTCTCTCTCTCTCTCACACACACACACACACACACACACACACACACACAATCTTTCCTCCATGACTGTAGCTCTAAGACCATCTCTCAGCCTGGACCCCAAATTAAATTCACAGAAGGTCTCCCATCCCTACTTGCCCTTTATCCATCCCCTGGGGGATCTCCATGCAAAGACAAAGACAGAGGAAGAGAACTAAACTATGAAAAAGAGGCTAGCCCAGCCCACCACTGCAGTAGAGTCGGCAAATGTTGGGGCCATTCAGGGAGAGATTCTTGCACCACTTCCGGCTGCTGATCTGGAAGATGCCATTGTTGGTGCTTCCATCAGCTTCGTGGTCCACAGCAGCTGTATTGAAGCCACTTGTGTAGTAAGCAAGGCAGACCCCTACAGAAGGGCAGACACAGGCTTTGAGGTCGGGTGGTTGGACCACCATGGACCAAAGTGTTCACAGATAAATTTTTTAGAGACTGGCTCCCTCTACCCCAAGGAAACAACAAGTATCTTCCCATCTAACTTTGCAGATGGATCAATCTAGGGTCAGAGGTCAAAGTGACTTCCCCGAAATTACATACAGTTACCTCAAAGCAAGGGTCAGGACTGATCTCAGCCTTCCTGACTCAGGACATCAATCTTGCCACTTTCTCATTGTTCAGTATATAGAAAGGCTTACTGCGTTTCTTGAATGGATTTACAAGAGCTAAACATTTAGAGGCAAGATTAGGAAGACACAAGCAGGCTCTACAAAGGAGGCTAGGACTAGAGACAAAATGATTCTAGGTATGACTGTACTTTACCTGTAGTCTCCTGAAACTGCCTCTTGTGTACAATGCTTGGTATTACAGATTTGTTCAGGTTGCCATCTAAGTTTCAGCAGGCATATTTGATCCTCGTGGCCAAGATAAAGTGTAACCTACTAAGCTGCTGGTTACTTTGACTTCCTGACTAGCAACAGGGTTGGTTCTAATCTGGTTGCCTGTTGTCTGTCTAGCATGTGGTTAACTCAGGAAGCAGGTGCTGTCCACCTGTAGTCTCATTGACTTCTGGTTTTATGAAGAAGGATTAAGCTCAAAAAACCTCCAAGACCCTTGTATGAGGAGGAAGAAAGACAGGGGAGTGGGTTGAGGTAGACGAGAGAAGGGTGCTCACAGTCAGCTAGGTTATATCCACGGTAGCCATCCAGACCGAAGTCATTCAGCACTTTGGCCAGCTCACAGCGACTGAAGACCTTGGCCTTGCTGGAGGCAAGCAAGCAGCTGAGCAGATAGGCCAGGGCTAGCCAAGTGATTCCAGGTGGGCACAGCTGTCTTCTGGGAGCCCGGCTCCTAGCTTCCATGCGGTGGCAGATACAGAGGGCTGAACTGTGAGATGGCAGACAGTTCACCAACCCTGGCCAAGGGTCCAGACAGCTGCCCCTTGGAAGAAGGAAAGAAGGACGGGGTCTGAGTGCACCCTGTGAAAGAAGAGAAAGGGTGGACAGAAGACCAGGCTCCATCCCTGATGGGACATCAGGCATGCTCCTGAAGCCTTGGACAAGGTTCCTGAAGCCCCAACTCTAGGGGTCTCCCTCCTAGCCACTGGCTTCTATCTGTCAGCCTTAGTTGAATCAGGGTCCCTCAGGCCACAGCATGGAGCCCTCTCAGGTGGAAGGCACTGAACTCTCCATCATCACCATCCCTAAAACTCACCCATCCCATTTGCTCGGCTCTCTTTGTCACTTGGCTCTGTGGGCAGATTCCCATGCGATGGGACATCGGCCACTGCTGACCCTTAGCCTCATGGTTCCTTCACGTCCTCTCACCTGCTGGCCTTCAACGCCACTGTCTTTGCTGCTTCCTGACCTCACCCCTCCTCATCTTGTCCTTAGTTCATCCTTCCCCACCTCTGCTCAAATCTCTCCCTGACCATGCCACCAAACACAGCTACTCCTATCTCTCACAAACTCTGCCCACAGCCTCCTCTCCACCATCGCCAAGGCCAAACATACTTACACAATCTCCAAAATGGGTGTCCTTTGGGTGATAGTAAAGTGGAGGGGGTGGGGGGACTGGAGAGATGGCACAGCAGTTAAGAGCATGCGATGCTCTTGCCGAGGGCCTGAATTTGGTTCCCAGCATCCATATCAAGAAACAATGACCTGTAACCCCAGTTCCAGAGCATCTGATGCCCTCCACAGGCACCAGAACTCATGTATGTACACACACACACATACACACACACACACACACATACACACACACACACACACACACACACACACACACTTTAAAATGTTTAATAAATCTTTTTAAAAAGAAAATGGAATATGGAATACTAGCGGTGAAAGGGTGTAGCCTGGCATGAGGACACAGGGATATGGGGAAAAGGGGGAGGATCAACCTAAACTAAGTGTGTGTTTAAAATGCCATACGGGAACTGGCTGCTTTGTGCTCACCCTGCTTATTGAAAAATTAAAAACATGAGTGTTCATTTTTCCCAACCTCCCACACTAAATGTTGAGGATGACGAAGTGATTACAAGCATAGCTTTGCACACGGGTTTATTCTCATTCTCAGGACATGATCTTCATGCCTAGAGCAACTTGCTCTCAAAGATAAGAAGAGGCTACCACTAGATCATTATTAAAGCATCAGACTGCCTGGTTCAGGCTCCCGGAGAAATGCTGGTTTCTGAATGTAAACCTGATCTTCATGAGTATCCCCTGCCTCCCAGAATTCTCATACAGGGCATCTGATGATGTTGGCCTATCTCCTTCCAGGTTGCTTTTCTTTACACTCCTCTCTGGGCCACTGGCTTTCCATGTGACAAGCTTTCCAACCAGGGTTCAGTAGTGCATCCACCACATCCCTCTTTATCCTGAGCTCACTTCTTCCCTTCAAAGCCATACTCTGTCCGGCAAGCCTCTCCCAGCATCCATGAACTCATCTCTATCTGCTCCTCCTCACTCCATGTGGATACTCAGGCTTAGGGCCCCAGCTTCTAAAATGTCTCCGCTCATTTCTCATCCTTGTCTGTACTAATCTCTTTTTCTGCTCTTCTCATGCAAATTTCTGAGAGAAAATTTACCACTGTCTCCCTGTTCCTTAATCTTGTCTTCTCTTTGTTTTTCTTTCTTTTCTCTTTCCTAGTATTAGAGATCAGACCCACGGTCTTTCACATGCCAAGAAAGTACCTCACCACTGTCCTACATCACCAGGCCCTTGGTCCCCACATCCATTTTATTTTGAACAAGATCTTGCCAATTGCCCAGGATGACTTTCCACTTCCAGACTGGACCGCATGAGCTGTCAGGATTACAGGTGTGCACTGCTATACCTTTCTCCTCCTTGTTTGCTAATCTGGAGTCATAAAGTCCCCCCCCACCACCCACTGGAGACCACCGCAGGCTCACCTTACAGGAGTCCTCAGGGACATTTCACCTGCCAACCACTTCCCTGTTGAAATCAGAGTTTCAAAGTCCCATAATGTTCCCTTCCTCCAGGCTTCCCCCTCCCACAGGGGCTCTTTTTCCTCCTCCACTGAGTAACCCACTTCTGGTCCCATCTTAAATGCTAAGTTGTTTCTATCTTGAATCCTCCTCTTTTCCACACCAGGAAGGTCTAGGACACCGCTGCTGTGACATCAACTACAGGATCATGGCCTTCCATTGCAAATTGTCCAAGAACTGAGAAGGAGCTGACCCCTGGACACCTCTTGTCCATACCCAATAGTCAACTCAAACTAAACTCACCAAAGAAATAATGTCCCCACCAAATTCTGCCCTTCTTTGTTCTGTCTTCTGGCCCCATCACAGAGCACCTGATTCCCCCGGTACACTAGAAACATGGATGTTGTCCTTTACTTCTCCCACCGATGCCCTTCATTTACCCAGAGCCAAGCAATGCCAGCGCCCTGTTGACCCTTCCCTCTAAGAACACAATCTTCCCTTAAGTTTAAACCATCACTCGGAGGCCTTCCCTCGTGGCGTTCTTATGCTCAGGGTGGGCCTCCTCCAAACTCTCCTACACATATCACGTGCACCAGAATGAATTGAAATGCAAAGCCTGGCCATACAGTGGCTCTTCAATAGCTCCGCCATTACTGCTCCCAACCGCGGTCCACAGGCCCCTCCATGACCCTGTAAAGCCGGCTCATCCCTCACTCACACATCTTCCATTCTGGTGATACCACATCGTTGGCTCTTCTGGTGATGCCTGCTATCCAACACTTTATCTCTCTCTTTGCCTCTGCACAAATAGCTCCTAGTGATGCTTCAGGGATGAGTCACATTCAAGATGAGTGCCCAGTGATGCTTTCCTGGCAGGGACCATCTCCCCAGACAAGTAGAATAACTCCACACTGGATTGTAATATATGTCAGTCCCCGCCCCCAAGGTGAGCTTCCACAGAACAATGGCCTGGTCCTATTTATCTTCCCGTCTTGAAAGGCAGGCTGAGCTGCTGGCCTGGAGTGGCTGTTCAATGGATACTTCTTAAACTCAAGTACACTGAAGTCATGGTCACAGAGTATGAGTCCTTCTCACAGTACGGGGAGGGAGATAATTATTACCTTTGCTGAGTCCTTCAACTCTGTGGGGCCAGGTGTTTTATGGGTATTTTCTGACTTAATCTCCTGTAATCCTCTTAACCATTCAAAGAGCTGGGATTAAGATCCTCAACGTATAGATGAGGAAACCAAGTTCACTGCTCCCCAGTGAGTGTTTGTGATCTTATAGTGTTTTTTCATAGTAAAGCGACTTCAAGATACGTTTATCCAGAGCAGTTCCCAGCAGGTCCACAGTGTAAGGAGTCGGACCTGGTGGTAACTCACAGACCAGAGACCTGGCAGCAAAAGCTTGTGTTCATCCTCTCTCTGCCTCTGCCCAGCCTCTGTCCTAGAACAGGATCCCGTCCTTCCCTCCCTCCCTCCCTCCATCTCCGATCACCACCTCCCTGTTCCCAAGGCCCTCTAGCTAACACCACCAGGACTCAGGGATTAGGGCTCACAGATCAAGAGTCCTCCCTACCAGAGCTGAAACCGTGGTGACAATGACAGCAGCAGCTGTAGTTCTAAGTCCTGCTTCAGCTCAGGACCACCCTTGCAATTCTGCCAGTGTCCCAGCACCAGGCATTGAGAGAAGGATAGAGAAAGCAGGCTCCAGACTGACTCAGGGCCTCCTAGAACTCCCTGGCTCTATGAGCTCACCTTCTAGAACATGCTTCCCTCACTGAACCTCGACGAGATCATCTGTGCCCTTCAATTTCAAGGTCCAGGAGCATTTTAGAAGCATCTATTTCTCTGTTTTGATTTTTGTTTTCATTTTTGTTTTTGTTTTCAGACAGGGTCTCATGGAGTTCAGTCTGACCTCAAATTCACTCTCCAGCCAAGGATGATTTTGGATTTGTGATCTTCTTGCCCCTCTTCCCAAGTGCTGGGACTACAGGCATGTGTCATCACGCCAGTTTTATGTCGTGTTTGGGGATGAAACCCAGAACCTCAGGTATGGTGGCTAAACACTACACCAACTGTGCTACCTTCTCTGTCCAGGTTAGAGGTATACAATCACAACCCTTCCTGGCTGCCTCTGCTTCACACACACACACACACACACACACACACACACACACACACACACAGTACT